ATGTCAGTCTGCATCCATGGCCACAGAGCAGCAGACCTAGAGCATCACTCCGGGAAACGCTTCCCGAGGCCTGTCTGTTTCCCGAAGCCACCAGGGATCGGCTGCTCAGAGGAGCTGTTGATCAGAAGGGGCAGTTAGAATAAATGGCAGAATAAATGCTGGACTGGGCCGGCCAGTTGACCTGCTAGTCCGTCCTGGGTCGTGTTCTGAAGCTAAATGTGGTTCTCATCTTGATCCTCCTAATCAAAAATCTAGAGCAGCAGTGTCAGCGCGGCAGGCCGGTTCGTGGCCCCGACCTATCGGTCTCTCCCCAGAGTCACGGGAAGATCCTGGCATTTCAGACGTGAGTTGGGCAATGGTTTTAGGATTTTACCTCCATAACGAGGAATGTGAAGCATCCTGCATGCAGCTCTCAGGACCCCCGCCCCAGCCTCCCTTCCCGGACGGACCCACCTCTGTGCCTGACCTCACCAAGGCCCGCGTCCGTTCAGAAAGGCCCTTCCCGATCTTGCAGCTGTTGTGGCCAATGCACACGTGGTTTGGGGCTCTGGGGTGAGACAGGCTGTGGGAGGTTGCCTGTCGTAAGAGGTTTCACGATTCCTTCCTGCAGACTTCGTTGGCCGGGACGCGAGACTCGGGCTCACCCCTCGGCTGTGCTTCTTTCCCGAGATGCTTCCTTTCCTCTTTTTGCAGTGAAAAATATAATGTAGGCCGCTTTCCTAAGAGGGGTGATGTGGCGCCAAGCCAGAGACTTTTGGTTCCCGCTTTAGCCTCTGTGGGTTTCATCCCATCGCGCTCTTGAGTTCTGCTGATGCTAAGTTACTAGACTTCTGAGAACCCCAAGAACCCCAACAAGGTGGGCGGTGGTTATGAAGGTGGAAAGTAACTAAGGGAATTCAGCAGGGCACCACGCCCTTCAGAAGCCCTTGATAAGATTACACGCACACAACGCATAGGAAGTGGCTAGGATGTGCTGTACGTGCACTGATGCCGCACAGTGTAGCAAAGTGGGGCAGTTTTAAACGTGGCTACAGGCCAGCTGAGTACAGATCTGGCAGCTGGAACCGTGGTTAACCACACTGGTGGTGCATGAGCCAGGAGGGATTTCATCTTAGGGGTGGTTGGCTCTGTACAGCTCCTAGCGTAAAGGAGTAAAACTAAACTTGGCCAGTAGAGTCAGAGGAACCAGGATGCTCGCGGGAGCAGATCAGTTGAGGGAAGGACATGCCATTGTCACATCGCCTCTGTGGAATGAAACCACGACTGCACTGCCCAGTCCAGGGATGCTCGGAAAAGTCGCTCTGTAAAAAGTGTTGTCTTAGCCGGTGCCTATGGGTCTTCCCATGATTTCCCTCTGAAATTTGCTGTGTTGAAAATTCCAAGCACAAGTTCTGAACTGCCAGCCCCGCAGACTCGCCTCCGTGAGCTCCTAACCCAGCTGTGTTCTCTCTGCCACTCGCTGTGAACCTCCCCGGAGAACGGGGTGTGTGAACGCTGCCGGCACCTTCCAGCTGAGCAGCTGGTCCGGGGTCTGCCCAGCTGATGGGAGCACAGGGAAGGAGCCACTGGGACACGGCTACTTTGGGGATCATCAGAATGAGAAAAACCCCTAGTCTGATGGATGGAACCGTAGCCGCAGGACAAGGGCTTACTTCCCTGCTGGGGCTATTCCCGTTCCTTCTCCTGAAGGGTTTTCCACCCGTTGCCTTGCTGGTTCCTGCCATACTGAGCATCAGCAGAAGCAGCAGGTTGGGGGAGGGTAACGGGTTCCGGGTTGCTGCCCCTGCAGATTTAATATCACCAGCCAAGCAGGGCAGGTTGGGAACCCTGCGGCACACCCGCAGAAGCAGACAGACAGTACTGGAAAAGCATGCGGGGGCCCAGGGTGGATTTGTCTACTCTGGTTAGCTGAAGAGAGGAACTGTCTCTCCCTTCCCCCGGGCCGTAGGTGCACGGGTGTTCCAGACGCACCTGCAGTTAAGCTGGTAAGCACCAAACAGCACGCAAATTCCCCTTGGAAATCAGAGGGGTATCGTGGCTCTCGACATGTCCCCTTCCCCCGTGCTCGGAGCTTCTGACTCTTCAGCTACACGCCGGGTTTGCCCTCGTTTTCCTTTCTTCCGACCCCAGCGCGTCCATTGCCGCCAGACCCCCCCCCAACTTCCCTTTCCGCTTGTCTTGGGGGGAGGGGGGGGCAGTGAAATGGTTTTAGTGGGTCCAGACTACGTGTGGCCATTTCATTCTTATTCTGATCCCAGGTGCAGACTAGAGCAATCCTTTGTTTCGTTCCCCGTCCGCGTTTCCACCTGCGGCTTCCCCACCGGTCCTGTCCCGCAGGAGGGAAGCGGTAGCTTCCGAGAGATGATACACGCCTTGTACCAAGTGAATGTACTTACCACTGGAAAGGAGGGGGGCTGCATATTATTATTATTATTATTTGTAATGGAAAATTTTAAAGTAATTTATAAGTATGCGGAGTGTAAATTTACAAAGCAAAGTCTGTATTGTAAAAGGATATATTATCCTGTGTCATACGCACGATACGTTTTACCTGTTTAGGGGAGACAGACAGACACATACAAGAGAATGAATTCTCTTGCCCATAGAGCCGGCTTGCGTGCCACTGAGCAGTCAGCTGGCACTTGGTAATTTCATGTCAGTAGGTTTTCTTTCATTTTTTTTAAATTAATGTTGTTTTTTCCTTCTGGAACAAGGCCGTCATCTGTATAAAGTGCAATTTGTGTAATATTTCTTACATATAGACTGTGTGGCTGTACAAACACACCTTTATGAACAAATAGCCCCCAGCTTATTAAAGAGCAAACAACGAGAGCGGCTGACGTGGTTTGTGTGACTCGGACTCGTGGCTTTCCCGTGTTGGCGGGGTCAGGGGGCAGCCAACCCCAGCGCCTGGGTAAGACGGTTAAGACTCGACGGAGGAGCAGAAGCAGGGTGGGTCCAGCCTGCTTGCTTCTCCAGAACAGTCCTCGATCTGATGTGGTCCAGACGCATTCAGCAGCCATTCCGCAAGACAGCCCTGAGACGCGTCTGAGCTGCTGAGACCCGAGTTTCCATGCAGACTGAAAACGCGGGTGGCTGCCGTCGATTCCAGTGGGGGCCCGGGAGATGCCGCTGTCAGAACGGGCCGTTCGCGCTCCCTGTCTGAAAGGGCGTCTCGGGGCTGGGACACCTGATCCCGGGGGGGAGAGGGGAGGAAACCCCATTCTTCCGGGTTTCCAGGCTCGCCTGCCTTCAGGGCGGTGGTTGAAATAGTCCCAGGGCTATGTAACAGTCACCGGCACTGGACCAAGTTGTCCGAAGTCCAGACCCCCAAGGCTGGGAGGATGGGGGGAGACTCTCGTGTCGCCCTGACCTGACGTGGCATCCTGGGATGCTGCCTGGTGGGGGCCGTATCCGAGACCATGTGGAGGGATTGTCAAGGATAGTCCAGCCCCGAGTCCCGCCCCATGCGACTCATCCGTGTGGGCACTAATGCTGCGAGGTTTCACCTCGGCAAGTCAGTGACTTTGGGGTGAGGGTGAAGGACTCTGGAGCATGGGTGGCCTCTTTGTCCCTTCCGGTTAAGGGTCAGGGCCAGGCAGAGACGGGTGCATCCTGGGGGTGCAGGCCTGGTTGCAAAAATGGTGTCGGCAGGAGGGTTTTGGCTTTCTGGGCCATGGGATGCTGTTCCAGGAAGGGCTGCTAAGCAGGGCTGGGCTGCTCCTCTCCGGGCAGGGTGGGAGCACGTTGGGCACAAATTGGCTAACCGAGCGAGCCAGGCTGTGAACGAGGTTGGAGCGGGACAGCTGACCAAAGCCCACGGTTAAGTGAAAAACATGGAGACTTGGGTGAAGGCTCAGAATTTGAGGGCAGAGGGGAGGAAGCATGGGCTGTTGTAGCAGGGATAAGGGAGAGATGAGACCAAACTGGGGAGGGAAATTAAATCCGCATCGGAGAGATCTGTGTGCTTCGTGCAGAAGCTGGGGGAAGAAGGAAGATCTCGTAATGTTAGAAGTAAACGGTGAGGTAATTGGCATCACAGGGACTTGGCAGGAGGATGGGCATGACTGGGATGTTGGTGTAGAAGGGAAGGCCATCTAGGGAGAAAGGGAGGAGGTGGGGTTGCCTTGTTCAGCAAAATGTGTCCACTTGGACTGAGGGTAAGATGGACATAGCAGACAGACTTGCTGAAAGTCGCCAGTTAGGATCAGGTACCAACCAGGGGTGATATCCTGGGACAGGCCCGCTCCAGACACCTACCCAGGCAGAAGGTGGATGAGGCTTTTTTAAACCCCCTAACAAAATCATCCAACGCACGGGACTTGGTGGTGACGAGGGACTTGACCTGCTCAGGCATGTTGGGAAGATAACACAGCTGGGCGCAGATTGTCCAACAAGCTCTTGGAATGTGGTGGAGACTTTTTTTTTTTTTAAAACTTCAGACAGTGGAGGAAGCTACTGGGAAGAGGCTGCTCTAGATTGGATTGTAACAAACAGGGAGGAGCTGGTTGGGAAGCTGAAAGGCAGCATGGCTGGAAGTGGCCATGAAACCATCGAGGTCGTGATTCTGAGGAATGGTAGGCGGGAGAGCCGCAAAGCAGAGGCAGTGGATTTCAGAAAGGCCGCCTTTCGCAAACTCAGGGAGCTGATAGGCAAGATCCCAGGGGAAGCAAGTCCACGAGGGAGGACAATTGGCAGTTTTTCAGAGACATTCTGAAGGGCATAAGAGCAAACTATCGGCTGCCATTATGGTCGTAACTTCGGGCACCGCCCCGGGCTGAGCACAGCAGAGAGGCTAACGGAGCCTTACCCGGCGCTGTGCTTGGCAAGAGGCAGAGATGCAGCCGGCCTGCGAGCGGGAGGGTGTTATCCAGGGCTGGACTGGCAGCTCCTCCGCCTAGCAGACAGGAGGCCCCGACTAAACGAAACGGTTCCCAAGAGCACTTTATTAGTGACCCCACGCCGGGCAGCAGCTGCCGGGCGAGAGGCCCTGGCTGGATGTGTCCTGGTACAAATACAAAGGAGCTGGAGTAGGCAAAAAAATAATTGTCCTGGCCCCCACATCTCCCGGCTGGGCAGCGATTCCAGCCTGAGCGCTGCCAGCCAAGCACCTGCTTAGGACAGAGGGTGTCGGCCTGGTGTCCAAAGGGAGGAGTTTATAGCCACTCCTATCGAGCCGCCTTGCTGTGGCCACCGATCCCGTCGCCGTTGTCCTGGCCACGCGAGGGCGCTCCCACGGCTCTCCTGTGCGGCGCTGCGGAACCCGGCTTCTACGTGACTGTCAGGACAGCCCTGCTCAGATGGCCTGCTGCTGCCGAAACACACCCTCCCCCCACCCAACAGCCTTCCTCCTTGACTGCACCCGGCTTTGCGGGTGGACGCCCCTCCCCGGGCTTTGACTTCGCCAGGGGCCATCGCAGCTGCAAGGAGGGTTTCAAACCCAACGGCCAGTCAAGGGAGGTTTCCACTTCCCTGCAAACAGCTGCGACACGCAGGTCCAAGGCAGCACTCCGCGCTCTGCCCTCACCGGGTGCTCCTCCCTAGATGGCTCCTGCGGTCATGCTCCATTGTTTCGAGACATCGGACCGCGCCCCCGTGTTAAGCGCCTCCGCCTGCCTTAAAGTCGGTGTCTGGGTCACCTCTGAGCCTGGCACGCGGTGGGAAACCCCCAGGGGCAAAGTCCTCTACAAAACGCCTTGCCCCAAGGCTTCTCTGCGGGTGATCTAGTGAGCACCCAAGGCCAGTTCACGTCTTCCCCTTCCAATAGACAGTCGCCTTCTCCTTGGCTCTCCTAGGCCGCCATCGGGACCGTGGCAGGGCACATCAGGTGATTTCCAAAACCAAACCTTCCCCCTCTCCCAGCAAGCTTGACTGCGCTCCCTGCACGTGACATGGGTTCAGAGCCTGGACCTTTCAGTCGTGCATTTTTTTCACCAATTTTGCTGGCCTTCATGTCTCGCTTTGCACCTGCCTCCCCCGCTGGCTGGCGTGAGCACAGGGGCCATCGGCAGCTCGTGTTCTTCACACGTGCAAGGTGAGTTTCGCCCAGGGAGGTACCGCGGGATTCTTGTGGAGGTGACATAAGCTGATACATTTGGATCCATTCTGGGTCCGAGCACCTGCTGTGTGAGCGGCTGGCATGACGGGAGGTTGATGGGAAGTCGTTGCCAGTTGCTTGGGAACAGAGGTTAATGCCGGGCCGTGCTAGGCCAGGACTGGAAGATGCTTAGTTGACCGGAATGGCGCACTCTGCACTGACGGGGTCCCCACGCGCCTTTCACCGGCTCTTGGGCTCTGTGCGGTGCAAACCAGAGGCTGGTACTAAGCGTTCCTGCTGGTCCAGGAAACCCAGGACCCTGCTCACCAGGAGGCCAGTCAGTTTTTGAACATGTCGCAGAGCAGCTTCTCCATGGGCGTGTTCCCGATGGTTCTGCGGAAGAAGAGGAGCTCGATGCGGTCGGAGGAGATAAACCTCAGGGAGGGGAGGAGCAGGAGCAGTTTCCCGAACCTGGAGGAAAGCAGCGGGGTGTCAGTGTGGGCTGGGCGAGCTGTGAGCGGAGCCGGGATGGCACGTTTCCCGGGGCTCGGCCCGCAGCATGGTGCTGCCATCTGTGTAATGCCGGGGCCAGGTACAGGGGTGAGTTGGGGAAGAGCCCAAGCGAGGGGCCGTCTGGGCAGCAGGACGCTCAAATCCCTGCTTGTCGGCTCACCGTGGCGCTAGGACAGCGCCCATGGTGGGGAGGAGCCGGAGGGGGTTGGTGGAAGAGGCCAATTGGCTCAGAGAAGTCGCCAGACGTTTATCTTCCCCCCTCCTGCTCGTTGGGAGTGTAAATAGCCTGGGGGGGTGGGAAGAGCCCAGGAGAAGGAGCAGCCCCGTGAAGAGGGTGGAGGGGGGCACAGGCAGGCAGAAGGCAGGCGGAGAAGCCCTCGACGGGAGGATGAGATGGAGGCAGGTCCAGAGCCGGGGATCCCTGGACCGGACGAGCAGGAATCCCCACAAAGCCGAGGTGCCGCTCTCCCAGCCCACCCAGGCTGCGCACACCCCAGGGCTCTAGCGTCCGGCCCTGCGGAAGGGCTGCTCCCGGAGCCAGGGCACAGCGCCGCTCTCCCAGTGCCACAAGGACCAGACGCCCGCCAAGGCCTTTGGCATCCTGGAGGTGAGGGGACAAGCGATTTCTAAAGGGCGTGTCCAAGGGGGCAGTTGCTGGACAGCTCGGAGGGGCGGGAAGGCGCATGAGCCAGGCAAGTGGGCAGGGAGCAGGCAGGGAAGGAGGATGCTTGGCCGGGTACCTGACAGGCTGGCTGGGGTAGTGCGTCCGGTTGTGCTGGTCCAGCATCACCTGCGACTGATCCTGCAAGTTCTCCACCTGCTCCGGATCCTTCAGGCCTCGCGTCTCTGTAGGGAGATCAGGGCTGTTCCGTGGGGCCGCGCCCAGACAGGCTCCCGGCCACAGCGGGCAGGCTGGGGCAATCGCACCCCGTATGACGCGTGGGCCAGCAGCGTGGGGGGGGGGCACTGCTCCTTGAGATGTGCTTTTGAGATGCTTTGCGGGGCCTGCACTCCAGCCCCTTTTCCCTAGGACAGGTCCCCCCATCTCCCCAGCCTGCTGGCTGCTCCCCAGGGGCACAGCTTCACACGGGGGGGCTCGGCCACGCTGCCCCCTGGCCTGGGTGAGCAGCGACAGGTGAGCGCTGCCCAGCGGCGGGGCCTGGCTTGTTTTCAGCAGTCTCAGGCTCTCCCCTGGGGAGGTGCAGCTGGAAAGGCTGCTGACGGCGTCCCTGCCGGGCACATCGTTCACGTGGCACGAGGAGCCAAGCGTCCGCGGGGCCGGCCGGGGCTTGGGAGCGGCTGACAGTGCCAAAGCCGGGGGGGCTCTGCGGGTTGTCGGAAGCCAGATGCCAAACTGATGGATTTCTGGCGAACGGCTCGGACCAGCCGCCCGCTCTGAACAGCCTCACCACGAGGCAAACTGAGGCAGATGCCTCAGGTGCCAGACTGGGGGCAGGGAGGGGCGCCCCTAGGACCCAGAGTGTAGAAAATTGTGTCTGCTGCTGGTGCATGTGCATTCTCTCTGCGCTAGATGCACAGCGATGGGGGAGCGCTGTGCTGGAGGAAAGAGGGCACAAGAGACATCACAGGCAGGAGGCAGAAGGATTCTGGGGGCAGGGTGGGACTGAGGGGCGTTGGCAGAGATGTGTGGATGAGGCCCTGCCCCTCCAGCCGGGCTCACCTGGTTTGAAGAGCACGATGGCCTTCATACAGGCGAACTCCGCGGGGTCGATGGTCAGGGCCTTGAAGCGGGCGATGGTTTCCTGCAGGATGCGGACGTCCCCACTGGCAGACACCAGCTTCCCGTGGGTGTGCAGGGTGGGACTGAGGGGCGTTGGCAGAGATGTGTGGATGAGGCCCTGCCCCTCCAGCCGGGCTCACCTGGTTTGAAGAGCACGATGGCCTTCATACAGGCGAACTCCGCGGGGTCGATGGTCAGGGCCTTGAAGCGGGCGATGGTTTCCTGCAGGATGCGGACGTCCCCACTGGCAGACACCAGCTTCCCGTGGGTGTGCGGGGAGAGCTCAGGCACGGAGAGCAGCGGGCAGCTCTCCAGAGGCATGGACCACTGGATGGCACAGAGGAGGAACAGCTCGCTCCAGGCTTCCTCCAGCAAAATCACCTGCCGGGCCAAGAGAAAGGAGCGTCTGAGCGATGGGATGGAGCATCTGTTTCTGTGTGGGTATTGGTGGGTGTAGGATGTATATGTGAGTGTGCAGGTGTCAGGATGCAGGTGTACAGTGTAGGTGGGGTACAGGTGTGGGGGTACAGGTGTACGGTGTGGGGGGGTACAGGTGTAGTAGTGTAGGTGTACGGTGTACGGTATGGTGTAGGTGGTGCACAGGTGTAGGGTGCATGAGAAAGTTAACAATGAGAGAGCTCAGCTGTGAACCGTGAGGGCAACTCCATCAGGCGTCTCCCTAACTTGGGGCAGCAAAGGGTGACGGGAAGCGGACGCAGCAAAGCGACAGACGGACAAACGGACAGGCCGCCTGACCGAGCTCGAGGGATGTGTTCAGACTGTGCCAGGTAAGCAAGAAAAACGTGAGACTAGGGTGACGGGAAGCGGACGCAGCAAAGCGACAGACGGACAAACGGACAGGCCGCCTGACCGAGCTCGAGGGATGTGTTCAGACTGTGCCAGGTAAGCAAGAAAAACGTGAGACTGGACCGTCAGGGCCCAAACGGGGCTGCCGGCAGGCAGGCCCAACA